GTTGCAGTCATTGATACAAGAAACAATCTGTGGGCACGAACATTAACACTACAAATAAAAGAAAAAGACTGTGGAAAGCACCACTCACAGTTTAATCCCTTGCCACCGGGTGACATGTATGAACATGCCATGGCTGTTGTGGACAAAGTATCAAATGGCATCGTAACATGACCATTCCTGCGTTATTGGCTCATCGGACAGAGCTTGTTTTTCTCCAATAACTGCAGCTTCATTTATATGGTACAGCTTTTAGGCAATAGCACCTAAAGTGAAGGTAAACCTTCAAATTTATAATATTTTTAAAAATCATGTCAAAATAAAAGCTTTTAGGTGCTAAACGTAGCTCACAAACTACCAAACGAGTCAAGCGCAAACAGGGGAAACTGCCAATGCGCATCAACAATCCTGTAATCATGTCCACTTGCCAAACTCTTTTATTTGGGGTTACAGTTCTATCTTGACATGCATACTGAGGTGAAGACAATGTTTTCTAAGAGGTGTTAGGGGGCAGGGGTTCCCATTAACACCTCCTCTCAAGCAGTCGGGCACTCCAGTCATGGCAACTTAGATTGTTAAAAAGATTTTGTGACATGAAATTGGGGACTTAGTTTCTGGTGAGTGATTCAGTTACTGTAAAGATTTACCAAATATATACATACAGCAAAGTAATCACCTATATATAATGAATAAAATGTTTATTAATTTTCTTTCATGACCACACTGCAAAACAGAGCAGTAATTTTCCTTGGTAGATCATTTTTACCACTGGTTTATATTTCTATCATAATCCTCTAAAGGCCAACATGGCATAGTCTTAGAGAATGACACTGTACACTTGCAATGTGTGATATAGTGATGATACTGGAAGTTTATCATCAAATAAAGAACCAGACCAAACACCAAAATATAAGTGGAGGATGTGTGTTAATCTTAACACCATAGTGTCATGATCAGTATGTATAATAGCATGCTGTGTGAGTGAGCAAAATGTCACAAAATCATAAAGTTGACATTTCTATTCCATCCTACATGGAAAACACGTCACGTTCCCAAAGGGATATGTGGGGCTGTTGTTAATGTTTTACGGAACAGACACATTCACCAACTCAACTTCACAAAATCTATTCACTAGTCTAAGTTGCCATGACTAGTTAATGGTTAATGGTTGAAACAAATAAATGTGCTAGACACCTAAGGTCATATAGCCCTATGGTAAAGCAATGTGGTGAAGAGGGTAAATGACTTAACAATTTGTATAAAAACTGATAAAGGTCAAAGGTTACAGAGTGTTATGGGATAGTATGATAGGGAAAAGGGTAAAGAGGGGGTGCAAATGATGTAAATCAGATATTAATAAAGGAAAGGGTTAAGGGTATAGGGCAATTAAATGGAATGGGGTGTATCTGTTGTTGGGGAAGCTATAGTAAAATTGCTTAAGGAAAAACTGGTAAAAGAGCTGTTATGAAATAATCAACAGGTAATATGGGTCAAGATGGCTGTTGGAGAAGTAGCAGGAGAAGAGTCTGGGGGAGGAGATAAGGGGATTCGGGTGGGTGTTCTGGAATGGATAGAGTAGTCAGTAGTCGAAGAGGGGATATTAGTATCAGTGGTTGGTCAAAGGAGCAGGGGTCAGAAAACCATCAAAATCAAATTTAGATAGGCTAGTTGATGAAAGGGCATAACCTAATGCCCCTATTAAGGGTAAAGAATCTTTATTATTGGCCATGGTGTGCATGAATAAAGTAGGGAAAAGAAACAGTCTACCCCTCAGGGTCCCCATAAGGGGCAAGAGCTAAACAATTAACGAAGGGAATACTGTGCCCATGGCTCCCAGGTATGGGTGATCCCCTGGGCCTCAGTCTCCATCTCCTAAGCCCTTCCACAACAACAACGAGCAAGGTACTGGGAGGAATGAAGAATAGTAATAAGGAAAGACGGGGTAGACACTGAAGAAGACTCTGCAGTTGGAGACAGAGAGAAGGTTAGGGGAGAGGAAGGGGTGCATTCTGGAGGTTGAGTAATAACCTGGGTGGGTGGTTCAGAATGGATAGAGTTGTCAGTAAACGTCAAAGAAGGAGTATTAGTATCAGTGGTCAAAGGAGGGGCAGGGGTTGGAAAACTATCAAAATCAATTTCAAATAGGCTAGTTGATGAAATGACAAGCCTTAATACCCCTATTAAGGGTAAAGAATCTTCAGTATTGGCCATGGTGAGCCTGAATGAAATGGGCCCCCGGAGGCCATTCATGACTGACACAAAGCCAAGCTCTCACACTTTACGAATGGGACAGAAGGGGATGAAGAAGATACGAAAGAGGAATGGGAAAGATGGAAAGACCATGCAAAATTAGTTGAGGCAAGGGCTGAGGCCTAAGGTAGGAACAATCCCCTACATTGGGCCTCAGTCTCCATCTCCTAAGCACCCCCCACGACAACAAGCAAGGTATTTGGAGGGCTTAACAATTATTCATGGACTATTCTTACGACATGGGGGAAGTTCCAGTAACACATGTGCATTCACTAAAATTTTATACTTAGGAAAATGCACATGGTATTATCATTGTGAAATGTACTATGGCTGTTGTCATGGCCGTAAAAATAGCCTCAGTGTAAGAATTTGAAATTAAACGATTTGTTGACATTATTGTATTTATTTTCAAATAGTGATGATGCCTACTTTGAATATTCAGATATAGTATCAGTTTCACTTGGACATATGGTACAAGGTAATGTTTGCTTGCAATTAAAATTTAAGGCACTTCATCTGTTATATTTCCTTTGCAAGTTGATAATATCTGTATGATATAGAGAGTTTGTGTTGATATGATACATATGATCACTGTGATAATGTGTTTGGAGGTTCCTTACACAGCCAAGTCATTACATATTACAACTGATAATAAAAATTACCAGAAACAACCATAAGAATTATAATTACTGTAATAGTACAGCAGGATGGCATAGATATTGATCTGTAGTTTGGGTATGTGAGTTGTAAGTGAAAGGAAAAGATAAAGAATGCTATTGAGATCTGAAATCCTCTTGCTAGTGTTTAATGGATTTTATACAACTTAGTCCAATATTTTTTGGAAAAGGAATATATGTATCTTAAGTATTGATGTGATAGAAGATTATTAGAAAGAGCCATTTCCTAGGTACCCCATCAGAACTCTTTTTCCCAATGAATTTACGTGAAACACTAAAAACCATAAAGACACCAAGGGCGGCAATCACGAAAGGTCTATGACTATTCTTTGCTATTTTGTCTATGACTTGCTCAATTGCTACATCTCAAATTTAATGCTGCTAATAAGAACATTTATATTATTATATACCCTATTTTGATAATCTATTGTAATAACAAGACCAGGCAAATATTACAATAAATCTAGCTTATATCATATCAGCAATTTTACAAATTCATATCTTCTAAATATGATGTGGCATCCCTACTTTTATTGTCATTTTATCAGTTGTAAAAGCTAACGATGCTATTTGTATTTCCAAGTAAAATACAGTAATAAAAATGTAGGAGATGGCTCAATCAACATTTGATAATTTATCAAAAAAGGCCTCAAAGTTTTTTCATGTTATTTTCAAAATGGAATAATCTTTGACAGAGGAAAATTGCAAAAGAACAAATTACAGACAGTCCTTACACATCAGAGCCGATATTCTTGATGAGGTAAGTCTCCATAGCAGGCGAGGGCATGTAGAATATCAGAGAAATTATTAGGTAAAACTGGCAGAAATCAGAATAGAACAAAAATGCCTAAAACTTGCACAAAAAACTTGAATTCGGCGAGTGAAGCTCTACAGTCTACAATATTTTCAAAGATTACTGACACATCTATAGATCAATCTGCCAACTTTCAAAAAAATCTACGGGAACCCAACCTATCATTCAGCACAATCTACAGGAATTCATGCTACCTAATACATCCTGACCAATCAAGCTACCTGACTCTACGTCACAAACTTTACTCAACAATCTAAGTTGCTGTGACTAGACATGCGCACTCCCCGATGAGAGGGTTGGTGGGGGTCTCTGCCCCCTAACACCACCCATGAAACATTCTCTTTACCTCAGAATATACAGCAAGATAGAGCTGCATACATACCTTGAAGAATAAACCAAACATTTCTCACTATCATATTGTCATGGAATGGTGATTGCGAGGTCTTGAAAGTCCCAGTAGAAAGTACAAATGCACATTACGTTTTTGCAAAGAATTGCACAGAATTATAAAAACACTTTAAAAAAAGATAAAAATGAAGGTATGCATAAAATACATGTATCAGGAAAAGCAAACATTGAAATTTACAAAATAACCGTCTACAAATGCATAGTAATATGTGTACTAGTTGACAGATCACAGTAATGAATTAAGCAGTCACAGTAATGTTTTCATTTGCAATGTCAACATGGCAAGGGACTCAGAAAAAGATGGGTTGTTCTTATCATTTCACTGTTAGGTATATCCCTTATTTCCAATTTGCGCACCTTATGTCACAGATGAAAAGTGTCTCAGTTTACATCACGGTATTCACTCCATACGCTTTTTAATTACTGTAACCCTGATTGTAATCCTTTGTAGATTTATCCTCTCCTACAGACTCATACAAATGTCAAAAGAACTTGGGAAAAACATAGTTGCCATAATTACGATAAAAAGTTTTATGCATAGAAAGGCACTGCGACCTTTATAATAACATTTACCGTGATATTTACTAAACATTATCATAATGCAGAAATAAAAATTAACTTATATTTTGTGGGCATAGCGTCCTCTTAACGGAAAAAGTTCGTTTATCAAGCTATTAAGTACTAATATATTACAATACAAATACTACTTACTGACTAAACTAATCAGTGGAAACTGCATTTATCAATTTTGCAAATATTACAAGATGTAATCCTTTAAACATGAAATATTTACCGAAAATATCAGTGCTTGGCTGAAGTTTACATCTTTTGTTTGTTTACTTCTACATGTCAAT